ACTTGCTGTAGACTCCCGCATTGCCTCAGCAAGGTCCTTTCGAAATTGGGCATCTTCCTTAGCTTCTTTAATAATCAACCCATCCCTCTGGGCAGCAGAAAGCTTTTTTTCCAAATGCTTTCTTTTGTTGTCAATTAGCTTTGGTACACAGTTAGCTTTGCGTTTGTTACCAGGTGCCACATCGCCACTTGCACTACCCCCATCATCTCCAGGGCCTAGATCACTTGAACCAGCTGAAGTACCTGCAGTTTCCAAATCCAAACTTAAGCTGTCATCTTCTGGATTGTGACATTGGACAACTTCATTGTCTTCCAGAAAATCATCTCCTCCTACACCATAAGAAAGGGGCTCTGTTCCGGCAGAACCACCCCACAATGTTATCAGTTTGTCGTAAAATTCGTAAACAAGTTTTCCACTGCCACTCCTACTTCCAGAAACTACAGCTTTAGAGAAACTCTGTCTGATTTCCTTCACCTTTTCCATCACTCTCTTCTGTCCTTTCGTTATCATATCTTTTGACTCTTTTACACGATGCTTTGCTTTGGCCTGCTCTTCCTTTGAACGGGTTTTGAAATCATCCGGTAACTTGAAAGCAGCCACAGGACCAAATATAGATTCATCGTCCTCATGAAGCTTCGCCATGTCCACTCGCAGTTCTTGGTACTGAATTTGTTTATCGGCGTCGAAATCAAGGTTTCTATAGGCCATTTTTTATTTGTATTCAAGTAAACAGTCGATCAACTGCCTTACCGTGTCTGTTTCCCAACGGAATCTCTTCGAAGTCAAGGTGGAAGACACTTCGCCATCCGCCATGTTTGCACGCGTTGTAGGTCGCGTGAGCTGCGTTCCGTTTAGTCAGCGTCCTTACAAGGCATGCGTAGTTGAAAAATTTTCATCCCGGTAACCGGGCTGGAGTGTTCATATGGGAAAATATTTCATCCCGGTTACCGAGATCTCGGTTTCTACAACCGAGATCTCGGTAACCGGGCTGGCCCGCCTTCTCATATGAACAGATCGAAATTTTTACAAAGGAAATAGGAGTGAGGCGAGATCTCGGTAACCGGGCTAGCCCGGTCAACCGGGCTCATATGAAGAGGCCCTAAGAATGTATTTTCTGAATTTGTTATTGTTCCCACAGCCATCGGCTGTGAATGAAACTGCTGCCATTTGTGTAGTTTCTGCAGTTTCGATTCTTCCTGAATCTCGTCAGTTGCCTCCGAGAAACGAATTCGTTAAAGAGGAATGACAGGAGTCGCGTAGGACCGTAAACACTATTAAACTTTCGAAGGAACGGCAACAGACAGTGAATCCCCATTACATTCCACGTTTATTCACGCTATCTCGCTGCCACCAAAGATGTTCACTCGACCGCGGCTGGATGCAAATGACTCACTTTATGTATATAACGACCATGATGCAACGTAATCAGAGTGCGCACATCCCCTGCATCATACCTAACTTTTAGGTGGGCATTGAACACCTAGTGTTTATTGATGGACACTCTGAAAAGCCCTTAAATTATTACTTAGTCCGTCTTGACAATTTCCCCGCTGGCGAATTTTGGGGGCACTACTCTGATTCATCGAAGAAATTGGAAACGACTTCGACCTTATAGCGCACTGACACGAACATATTAACGAGTACGCTAGTACTAGAACTAGAAATATAAAAAAAAATAGTACTAGAAACTCTTCCCTACTCATGCTCAACACTTAAATCACACCAATTTTAACTCACCTCCGATTACTCTTCCACCAACAACCCTGGCTGCCGCAACAATGCTACCAGCTTGCGCTTAAATTGTAAGATTCAATGACAAATTAGGCAGGAGAATTGCAATAAATTGACAGAATTGGATTTAAATTTTGAGTTCTGATAAATATATAGCATATAACGGTTACTCGATGGACGCTATTTGAGCAAAGACCCTTAGATACTTTCCCGCAAAAAATGCGACAAAATAAGAATTGCAGAGGACTAAATATTCGTTACCTTTCCTTCTTTCAAATTCATCCTCGTCAATTCGTCGCTTCTCGAAATCCTGAACTTTCTTCACCAGATCTTGTCTCTCAATTCCCGATAAAATCCCTTTCAAGAAATCAAGACGACTAAACTCAAAAAGTCTTCGGCGTTCAAGTTTTTCGAGCAAAATTCGAGCAGTTTGAGTTTTTCTTTCATTTTCCTCCAACGTTTCCCTCTCAGTGCAGACAGCGATGAGCTGCTGCAGTTGATTGCTTTCGTCGAGAGCGCGGCTGATCTGTTCAAGCAATTCTTTATATTCTTTCCTTTTGTTCTCGAACTTTCTTACTTTCTGAAACAACGACCATTCTTCGACCTCTTTTAGCAGCTCTTTCAATAGCTCAACTCGATCAATGGCCAAATTATTATGTTCTTCTAGCTCTCGAAAGAGCGAAAGTGCATTGGGGATGTCTTCAGGTCTAGACGCCACGCGCCCTCTACACACGAACAGTAAGTGTTCATGTTGGTCCAGTTGATCGAGTCGTCGGCTTATCTTAGAAAGAAGGCCATTATATTCTTCGTAAGACATTTCAACTTTCGTTGCTATGCATCTAAAATATTAGCACTTCGATCGAACGCAGTTCGGTCTTTGGTATTTCATGTATATTCACAATATGGCGAAGAGTTTTGTTCCATGTCACGCACAGTGGCTGTTAGTCTACGTGTAGCCGTACACTTCCCCCGCAAGGTGATGCGGAAGCGAGGGAACGTCTACGAAAACCTGACAGTAATCGTGTTCTGTAACGTTACTCTTTTGCAAGAAAATATATAATGACTTTTTATTGGTCAACCTTTTTTTGCCGATTCTTTCGTGAATCCTGATTGGCTAGAGTTGGTAATTTATTTTCATACTAAAGAACAAAATAGTGACCAGAATGCTTGCATGGTCAACTTTTCAGACAACAGACGAGGTTTGAAGGCAAGTTTGCGCCGGCGACTTTTGAGATAGACTCTCAAGAAGACCAGCAGAAAACGAAAGATATGTTTTTCGAAGGTAACGAGGTCTCCGTTTCAACAACTGGCCATGGAAAACCTTCAATATATCAATGAGCGCCAAGGATCGATCGCCTCTCTTCTCTAACAGAAACTGGTCATTATAAAGCTCTCATAAAGGGCCAGGTGCACTATCTCAGAGGACTTTAGCCAAGAGGATTGACTGCCTTCAACTTTTGGTGTCTTTGCGAACAGTGTTGCGAAGACATTAAATTAAAACTTGTTGTTTCTTTCAGCGATTCTTTCGACTGAGAAAAGGGTCGCTCTTTCTTCACGCTTGCAGCGTAACTATCTCTTAAAGAAATATGTAAAAACCTTGAGATTCTGCGGCAAATGATCCTACTTTTTTCGACGACCGTGGCACTGTTTTCGAATGCAAGCAGAATCCGCGTGGACGTTTAAATCTAGTTTCGTACGCGCGATGCTAATCGAACATCGTTCTCTTCCTACTCTATACTAAAAATCGCTTACAATCTTTTCCTACAATCTTAGAGCAAAGTATTTATTTCAACTCGGACGCTGAATTGCAAATTTACCCGAAAAATAGAAAATGAATTCATTCAATGTTGTTGTTTATCTCGATAACCTTTCACGCTAACACGTGCCACTCAGCAAAATATATTATCAAGTTACATAACTACGCATAGATTAGAGTGACGTCACAAAACACGACTATTGTCAGGTTTTCGAAGACTTTCCCTCTCTTCCGTTTCATAAGTGACTATGTTTACACTTGATCGGGTTATGTCACATGCCATCACATTGGTCCATATGATGGATCGTGGATCGGACTTGGAATGGTGGAGTGCTCACTCTTTTTGTGAAGTCTCCTTTCGAGTCATATAAAATTACTTAGCATACAATCACTGGTTTGAAATATATCGTGCTTTTGATCAAAAAACAATTTCATAATTCATTCATAAATGAATAACTAACTGGTGTAATTCTTAGAAATGTTGAGAAATTCTTAACGCGGGAAATAGTCAACTGAAAACTGGAACATGGCTATGATTTGCATTGAACGATTGAATCAAGGCTCTTCGTAAAGTTGAATATTAATTAATCAATGAAAGCGCTGAGGTGTTTTAGACCGTAAACGGTGCCCCATGCATACATCATTTGGACTGCTAAGTTGAAGGGAAACAGTGTAAGATATGCTAACTTTAACATGTCATTATAAGGTCAATCAAAAATCAAAGAGTCTGTAAGACACCTAATTAATGATTTCGGATAAGTAGCTAGTAAAGTTGAAGTTCAGGATGTGGAGTTTAGGACACCCACAAAGTACAAGCTTAAAAAGGGCAGATTTGGACTTTTTCCCTCACATTGGTTCGCTGAGGTTTAAAGCCCTATTGGACGAGAATGTGCATTGAATTTGCTGTATATGTGACCTGTCTTTTTGCAAATTCAATTACTATTCAATTGAATGAGAGACATTGAACACTCAGTCAAAGTTAGGTTTATTGCTAAGACTCTGACTTTTCTTATTAAACTAGTGTTTCCTTGACATTTCCCATTTCGTGTTGCAACCACGTAAAAGTCACCGACTGTACTGACTGCATTGGCCCTGCGCTGCTACTTCATTTAGCTCCGCAAGTGCCTCCGATGAGTGCCTCCTGAAATAGTTATCGTAATTTCGAACTCTCATAAAGAGATTACGAACTAAACAAAATTGAAAAATAGAAAAAGTGTTTGCTTCTTTACAAGTCCACGCTCGCGTGGGAACCATGAGCCCTGTTTTGGTAACTATTTTAGACCTATTCGGGCACATTTGACCCGGGCTCACTACATGAGGACGAGAGGCAGGAAATGGCTCTGGTATAAGTTAGTGCTTATAATAGAGAGCCCACAAGTTATATAAATCATCCGCAGCTCGCTCCTCAAAATTAACCGGTATCTATCTTTGAAATAATCTGTAACAGTTGTTTTATATGTGCGACCTGTTCCCTCATCTGTTACATCAAACTGCTTCCTGTTGGCTGATTTTTCCGAGACGCCCTAAATTGTGTACATCCTCTTTATAGAGCCAGCATTAGTAGTTTGTATACGAATTCCTGTAACACACACCGAAAAAAAAAAAACATCACATATAAGTACTTTAAATAAAAAAAAATATCACACTGAGTCAGAGAAATCTTAAGACTCTTCAAGTTATCTAAATTTTCATTATTACCGGTATACGAAAGCTTATGAAAAGAAAATAAAAAATAAATATATGGGGTCATGACCACATATAAGGAAATCAGGAACAACAGCTAGCTCCTTGTAAAATCCTTTTGCAGAGACTGAAAGTACAGAAACTCACTGAGAATATTATGTAAACATTGGACAGTTCTTTCACCATTTTACCCCTAACAGTGACTAGCATCCAATGCTTTATAGTATCTACTACTTTACTTTATACTTTATACTTATACCAACATACCAATACTTTATAGTATCACCCCCCTGAATGACAAACATGAAGGTCACAGGAATAAAGGGAATGATCACCAACTGAAAAAGCTTTTGATTGTTAACCAAATTCTCCTTGTTAGCATCTTAGGGAATGTATAGAGAACATTATGGAGAATATGCATACTGATGATAGGGTGTAAAGGGTTAATGAGTTCATGATCAGGGACACTGGGAAGCTCAATTTCAAAAGGAAACAGTGGCTCATTTCCAGAATTACAGTATACTCTTTGGAAAATAATTTTTTTGAGACTTGAACATTACTGAGTGGACAACATTTCATATATACCTAGATTTTTTTCAAAGCAATGGTAAAAACATGTAAATTATATGAAATCTAACAAATTTCAACTACTCACCATCAATGTTTACCAGCATGGCCTTCCACTCAGAATGCTGAATACTTGAATAAAAACCAAATTTCCCCTCACACCCCTCCCCCAGGAGTCTTCCTTGACCATCAAATGTGAAGAATGATCTTCCAACAGGGGTGTAATGTATTGATGGCATCTGTGGCAACACAATGTCCAATGCCTGCACTGCATCTTGAGGTATTTTGCCATTTTGTTTTCCACTCAAAAGGTTGTTAAGATCCAAAAGACTGAAGTGCTCAGCAAACTGAATTTTAACCTTGTGGGTAAATAAGAATAAGCATTAAAATATTTTTATCCATTAGTATGAGTACATGTTGCCTACAACTACAAATTATGCATTTTCAGTAGTGATCCTTACAGTGCAAATGTGACAAAAACTGTTACAATTATATCTTTATAAAGATCTGCAGATAGCATGACATCTTGAGTAACAGTTAAAAATTGCAGACTACTTAAAGTTTATTTCTAAACTGATTGTTTATCATCTTTTCACAGCAAAAGAATGATTGCATTCAAAATGTGACCATCACCAAGGTGTTATTATTATTATAATCATTATCATTTAATTATTGTATACTATGTCTTGTATGTGACGTATATCAAAGCAAATGCTACCTTTAATCTCTACCTCCATCTTCACCTGGTAGTTTAACATCAAGTTCTGAGCCTGTAAGTCACAGAAAAAAGGAAAAACAACTCCTTAACACCAACAGGAGGTTTGTGGATTAAAATGTTGAAAGCAGTCTGGTGCTGGCTGAAATATATTTTGTGACAAAGTGTAACATGAACATGCTGGTATAAACATTGATATTTTCCCTTTTTTTAAACCATGGCCACCCTCTTTTGAAGGTAGATTTAATTGTTAACAATTAACAATTGCTTAATTAACAATTAAGCATTGCTAATAAAGTCATGTCTTCATACTTTCTTTATACAATGTTTACTCATGTGTTGCAGTCCAAATTATCATTTTTTTCAAATGAAGATAATCTGGTTTTATCAACTGAGTTGATAATGTGAATCGCCAGTGTAACAAGTTTCTAAAGCTGAACTTTCTGGCATTGGCCTTTTATCACCTCTCATACAATCTCCTTTGCAAAGGATAACCCATCAATGAGGGGTGACTACATGTACATCACATTAAAAAATGCTGTTGATAGGAAACTCACAGGAACAGGCAGCTTTTTCCTGCTGTACAATGCCAGGACAAATTGAAAGAGTTCATTTCATGAGGCCTTCTAGTCTGTAGGTTTAAAGGAGGCTCCATAGAGTTTTTGCTCAATGTTGGTGCACATGCCAGTATATTGTTTTTTTGAAAATTTTAACATTTTTGCTTTTCTAGCTCATTAAAAGCCACCAAAAGGTGAGGAGCAAAATTAGAAATATAGTTTGCTGTAGTAAATAGAGAGAAAATGATTTCTGTCACTAAGCTAAGGCTCCATGAAGGGAGATGTTCGCCAGCAATAATTTGGCTTTGCCTTTGATTTTTTTCAATTTTCTACAGTGAAATCCCCCAAAAATTTCACAATTTGTGAAAATTGTCCTGCTGATCAATTAAAAGCCAAAAAAAATAGGGGTTACCAACATAGTTTTCTTGCTTTTTGCTATTTTGTGTTTTCTTCCTCCATCTCAAATTTGGTCCTATGAATTTTTTATTAACAGGCACTAGTAAGGACACAAATATGTTTAATGGCCCAGCAAATCTTGAAATTTTACCAAAGGAAAAGAAATAAATCTTACTCCAAAGATCCCTATTTTCTTTGTCACAAAACAATACGTAATGGAATAGAATTTTGCTAAGTTCAGTATCTGAGCATGCAAAGACTTTCGAACCACTACAATTGTAAAGTTTGCCACGAAAAGTTGGTGATGGCAACTGTCAAGATAGTTTATATCCTCAACAGCATCCTCAACAGACATCAACAAACTTTTGTTTACCAACCATTCAACCAACAAGACAAGTTTATTAGAGAAAAAGATTCTACAGAGGGTTATGACAATTCACCCAGTGCATCATGAGCATCAAAGCTTTCTGGAAAGAGGTGCTTGTATAAGCTTTGGTTCACCTTCGGATACTGACCTCCACCGTTTTCCAAGGTGGAGTGTTTGCTCTTGATGAGAACATCATGAGCATTTATGAACCAAATGTTATTCTTATTCAATGACATGTAAATGAGTGGCAGGGTATTCTGCAGTTTCTCCCAGTGGAATTTGTTTCTGTGTCAAATAAAAGAAAATTGTAGAATTTATGATCGTCGAACTTTCCTCTCTGATAGATGGTCGCTGTGTGAATTTTGGTATTACATTTGTATATTTTTCTTGTTCTGCCTTTTAAAGTGAACAGCACAAAGTTCAGTATTTGACAATGTTATGTTGACTTCTCCCGATGTCTCGGACAAATTCAAGTTTAGTCCAACGTTACTTTCATACGTTCTTCCCTCTTTGGCCTCTTTCCTAGCTGCGTCTGAAATTTTTTGCTTGTTTAATTACGATCTTCGTTGTTTTAATTCTTCAATTGACTATCTATATTTGTGCATGTGACTTTTCCCATCCATGTTGTCGTTGAATTCTTAACAAATTCTTCACGACTTAAGTCCCCGACTCAATGTTGAAGCATTCTAGTGTTCTTGGCATGTATTTGTAACATAGATTTTTCTGTGAGACACAACAGGACACTCGAAAATCTTCACCCTGGACTCGAGATTGCCATGTCTTTTGTTTCGAACGTATGATCTTCTGATAGTCGTCATGAAGCAGTTTCTTTGGTGAAGTTTTCAGAAAAGTTTTGACACAGGCGGACCAAGCTCACGTCTCGAGAAAAAGCAAACGATTAACTCGTGAAAGCGTCATGCGTTGTCTGACTCGATGTTACGTTATGAGAGAAACCGTTGAGAATTTAAACAAGTTATAAGGAATGGTATCGAGAACGAAATAAGGTCGATTTACAACGATAAATATTTCGAAATATGAACATTCTACACGTAAAATCAATAGAACTTACCAACATCTTGTGTGTCCGTTGTAGTTTCTGGCGATATCTGCCGTTTCAAGCTTGTTTTGCCATCACTGTTATTCTTATTTTTGTTATTCTTGACGAAGACAAGGTTGGACACTCCGATTTTGACCATTGTCCACGCGGAGTTGGTTTGCGCCCCTAAAATCCTCCCCATCGGTATTTTTCTCAGCCATAGTTTACGATCTAAGATCATTGGACCCTGGGACATGCCTCAATACCAAACTCCACGTGCATTTCGCTGAAAACGCGCGTTTTCTACCTGTAATTCTAAGTTCGCTAATCTCTGGCCATGATCTTGATGACCAAACTGGACAAGGACGCCGAAGACTTGGGTACGAGGTTAATTTTCTCTCTACCACGAGTGGTACGGTAGATTAATGTACCACTCGTGGTAGAGAGAAAATTGAACTACTTACTCAACCCCACAGCGACACCTCACCTTAATCCATTGTCCCGATCAACCAACCAGACAGCGAGGTGAAAATAAAACAGATAAACAACAGACTAACCTAAATTATTTTGCGGGGTTTGCCATGAGCACACGAGCCTGGAGGCGAGAGGCAAAGGTTCAAGACATTCCTCTGGAGAAACTTATGTGAGATTAGAAATGGCATCGAATAACTCAGATTTCTTTGGTTTTATTTTGTGAAATCGGCAGGAATATTTTGTGCGTATTTTTGGTTTTTTTTCTTGTTGTAACTTACATTTACGTTTACGTTTACAGCTAATCTTATCGGTGGATCTTTTATCAAGTCGTCTAATGCTCCCACAAATACGTACAGTACATGTTCGATGGAGATACTTTGGAGTATTAGTGAGAGTGGAAAAGCTTTAATTCTTGAAATATGAAAACTCTAAGGAAAATAAACTAAGGCCCCGTCTCCATCTCTGTCTCTGCCACCTGTAACTTATTTACGCTGGTTAGCATGGAATATTATAATAATTGCAATAAGTGAAGTGGTTCTTTAAAGAGAGCCCCTGCACTTATTGGAAGTAGCTAGGAAACCCAACCCGTGTTGTAGTGGTCTGGCCATTGTTTGGAAATTGGGGGCATCTGCAAAGATTTCCTTCAAAAAATTATTAACGGCTTGATCAGTCTGGCCAAAGTCCTCCGCAAAGCATTGTAAAGCTGAATAGGCTGATGGATATATTGCTACAGAAATCCTTCAGAAGTATTACTATTTTTATCACTAAAATTATGAATTTAGGGAACGTTACTCAGCCTCGACTGTTTTAATTTAAAATACTGAAAATTTCAGGTTGATTTTGAAGTAACACTTCCAACTGAGAATAGTAAAGACAAGGTATTTAAGGTAAGTAAAGAGTCTGGTCTTGGAATTAAAATGAGAGTAAGTTCAAAATTTTGCTCTGCAACAATTCCTTTTAACTTGTTTTACATCATAATCACAACTAATTTACAATACTATTACAAATTGCACTTTTTTATAACCATTTCTCCCACTAAGAGTGCATGATCAAAATGTATTTGCCAAACAATTAGTTACATAGTTATTAAGAAATAACAGATTCTTTTACAGGTTATACTGGCATTCAGCACCCAATTCTCTGGTACTCCTCTTTTTGTGTAGGTGTCTGCTATCTTGAGTGAAATGTCTGGTTGAACTCTTTTTCTCCCAGAAGTGACCAACAAGTTGTTTCTTTTTAAAAATCATTACATCGTCAGGCATTTTAACAGGTAGTGAGAGTAAAGGAAAAGATTAATCAGAGATATTGTTTCCAAGTAAGTTTGTTTACAGAATTCTCAGAGGTACATGTAACAATGAGTTTAGGTTTAAAAAACTTACACAGACTGTAATTTCATACTCCAACAATTAGACCGAGCAGTTACACGTTTAAAAGCCACAAATAACTGACAACCCCAAATGCACATATTATTATTATAATAGACCATTAGTAGTGCACTCGTTGGCCCGATTAGTTCATGTGCATGCCTGCATACTTCCAACAGTATTTTGTCACAGTGCACTTGCAGGAGAGGATTTAAAGCTGTAGTAAAAGAACAGCTCCCTTCTATTCTACCAAGCTATAATATGTTTTGATTTTGATTAAGGTGACTGTTAAATGGGTAGCACAAGTCAGCTTATTTGCACTGGAACAAGCATTAGAAGGAAAACACAATCAAATCCCTTTTGAGACCATCCAGGCTCTTGATGTGGTGTTAAGACATTTGCCATCCATGAAGTATATACCTGTTGGAAGATCTTTCTTCCCTCCTCCAGAAGGTCATCACCTTCCCCTGGAGAGTGGACATGAATTTTGGTTTGGCTTTCATGAGAGTGAGTCCAACCATCACAGGGGAAGGTGATGCTTAACATTTATGGTTACTGTAAAAATGACTACTTAACTTTAGAAAAATATTTGTTAAAATATATTGTATACATACTGCTGATGTAGTACTATATCTTGAAATCAAGGGAGAATAATTTGAGGAAATTATACACAGAAGGTTATAGGACATGAAAATTATGTCTATAATTTTCTGTTGATAATTTCTGCTGTGTTGTCTACAATTCCTAAGGTGATGGCTAAGGAGAATTTGTTTAACAATCAAGGTGGTGATCATTTCCTTTTTTCTTGTGATAGCAATGTGTGATTCAGGGGTGATATTGTAAGGAGAAATTAGATGCTAGTCACTCTAAGGAATCAAAGGGTTAAAGGGTAACGTAAACAGTATAGCCTACACTAACAGTAGAGTATAAATGTACCCAGAGATTATTTTGTCTGAGGTCTTTATTTATCAAGATAGCTAGATACTAGATAACTAAGACTCTGACAATGTTACCGAGAAATTACTTGATCACAGTTTCAGCCACAGCATTCTATAAATGCCAGCCAGTTGTAGAGTTCTTGTGTGAAGTCCTTCACAGACAATAACAGGATCTTCAAAAGATGAAACCATTGTTTGATACAAAAAGACTGAAATTCACCCAAGAGATAAAAGGTATGGAGCAAGTTATAGTGTGCATATGAATGGGTGATGGATATGTGTCGGTTGGGAGAAATAATTGAAGAAGAGATTCACAGTGTTATCTTACTCTATTTTTCAATAATATTAATATTATTGAAAATAATTTGAAAACATAACTTATCTACATGGTTGATATTCACAGATTTTTAGCAAATTTTGTTTTGGTTGTTGTTATGGTTGTTTTCTTGTTGTTTTTTACTGTTATTATGCTACAATAAAGAAATGCCTTTTTAAATGCACTTAATATGATTATACATTATAGGTTCCATCAAATTTTAAAGGTAAATGTACTTGTAGTTCAACTAGCTATTTTTTATTAGTTCAATCCAGTATATTCTAGCTATAATCCCAAAATTCTCTCTCTTGTGAACACTGAGATGTCATCTTGTCCAGTTAATGAAGTTTCAAAATGTCTAGACACGTTTTAATTCATCATGTTATTCCTTAAGTGATTCAAATTGGTTTATATTTGTCTGAATGTTCTTGCACATGTGGGACAGTGGTTTTCATGACATACTAATAGTCTTGTAAATGTTATTTCCAAATATATATATATATATTGATATTTCATTACCAGGTCTGAAGGTAGAGATTACACACTGTGGATCAATGAATAGAAAATATCGTGTTATAATATAACAAAATTAGCGGCTCAAACTTTGAAATTTCTTCTAAAACAATTGGAAACAGGTCAACCCTGTGAGATCACACTCATAGCTTTTTACGGTTTAATATTCAACTATTGTTCATTTTCTAGTGTTTTAACGTCTGGTTTTCGAAATACTTCCTACGTCGTCGTTTGAGAATTGCATCTGTGTGCGAAAACGGAAACAGGCGAAACGAAACAATTAAAGCTCTAAAATTTCGTTCAGGGCGTCTAAAGTGTCTCTCCAAAGAACAATTCACAATTGCCCGGCTTGGTCTCAACCCAGACTTTTTAATAAATATTCTAGCGTACCAAACTTTGTGTCACTTATCTTCCCATCTGCAAAGGTATATGTACGTTCCTTTATCTAATCTTCGTTTTATTTCTTTGTTCGTGTGTTTGGGTAGATACCCTCATCTGCCTTGTCTTCAAGTCGGACAAGAACAGAAACACACCTACCTTCCCATCGAAATTTGTAACCTTGTGGCAGGTCAGCGCTGCATCAAGAAGTTGATGCTCCGCAGAGTAAACCTGGTTAGGAATACCACGGATTGACATTCATATCTGATTAGCGAATTTTTCTGATTTTTCAGGACAGCCTTTCCCCAATGCGAGTCATGTGATGTTGTTAATTAATATGTACGTACGCTCGTGGTGCAAAGTAGATGGCAGAATGATATGAAGCGTAACAAAATATTGCAGGAGGTATTGCGTTCTACATGGTTTGTTTACACTGAAAAAAATGCTGTTGCGAGCCATTCTGAAAGAAAAAAAGTATATTACCTTTACAAAGGTTAGACCCCAGCTTTCTGGATTTGTATTCCGGCATTTCTATTCTGTGAAGCTCCTTATAGACAACGACATGTTTTTAATTTCCGCTCTCTTTAGGTCAGGAAAGCTGATTTCAGCAATGACCAATGCGTCAAAGATTTTGGAATCTCAATTAACGACAAAATGGTGGACCTTCATGGGCGGGTACTTCAGGCCCCAAAACTTCAGGACGGTGGGAAGGTAACTGTATACACGTGATTCTTTTTTTAGAGTTAGATCCGGTTTGGAGATGTTGAAATGCTTTTAAAAAGCAGCTTTCGCCCTCGAGTAAAGAAAATAACCAAATGGGTGAAAGTGATCGAGGATGGAAGAGAATAGAGAAGAATTAAAAAGGTCCAGGGTGAACTCGAGCCAAGGGGCCCATTCAGCTGGAACTTATCCCGGTTCCTATAACATGAAGCGACTAGGAGCAGTGCTACTACCCCTAGCATTTCATCAGGCTTTCCTTACAATTTGCCGGTATCCATTTATACTCCTGGGTAAAGAGATACGTTGTGAAAGTAAAAAATATTCATCCCAAGAATACAAGACAATGACCCAGCCAGGTTGTGAATCTCTGACCACAAGGCCACCGCGCTCCCACTTTCCTCATATCTCATGCTCTTTCCAGGAGCATGGGATATGAGGGGGAAGCAACTACTTCACGGCATTGAGATAATAGTCTGGGCCATCGCTTGCTTTGCAGAACCACGAGAAGTCAACGACAGAGCATTGAAGAGCTTCGCCCATCGGCTGATGAAGATTAGTGGCGTGACTGGAACGTCCTTATATGGCGAGTTAAAGAAGAAAAGGAAGGAGAGGCGACAAATTCACAGTGCGAGTATTTTTCAATACTGTCTGACTGACCGGCAGACAGA